CCTAGACCGCGACTCTGCAGCCCTTTGCCGGCCCCAGCCACTGCCCGGAAGGCACCCGCCCGCTCCAGAACTCAAACAAGCAACAAGTTCTCGCTTTCTCAGGGCTCCACGATGTGCTCGGGAGGCCCCGCAAGAGGGGCGCTCGGGGGGTGATCCCGCGTTGCCCACGCCCTGGGGGGCGCCGGCTGCCTTCGCCGCCCCCAGGAGCGCGGAACTACGGTTAGGACGCTCAGCGGTCGCCTCGGGGCGCCCTATGGACAGAGATGGCTCCAGCATCCCCCGTGCGGGCAACAGGTCTGCGAGCGCGCCGAGGACAGGAGCCTCGGGTCTCCCAGCCCCCGGCCTCGTCCCTTACCTCCAGCAACTGCACATAGCTCGCTGGGAACCAGCCGCGGAGTCCGTCCTCCTTCTCGCCTTCCCACCAGCCGCCGTCCGGGACCTGCAGCAGCGTGATCAGCTCGCCCGCGGCGAAGCGCAGCCCCTGCCCGTGCCGCTCCCCGGAGAAGGGGTACAGGGTCCGGCAGCGGGCGCCGGACATGGCCTTGGCGCCCTGGCTCACAGCGCAGCCTGCATCTCTGCCGAGCCCCGCGGGCTGGGCAGCGGCTCCGCGGGATCCCAGGCGCCCAGCAGCGCTCCGGGCTCCCGCGCTCTGGGCGCGCGCCGTCTCGGGGGGTGTGCGGGGATCCCCGGGCAGGCGGGGGGCGTGCGCTCCGCGCAGAGAATTGGAGACTCGCTGGCTTCGGAGAGCAAGCGGCGACGCCCCCGGGTCGGGCAGCTGGCAGATCCCAGCTCTGGGCGGGCGGGAGGGGCGGGGCTCAGGGGGAGGAGACCGAGGAGCCGCGGGCTCGAGAGACAACTTCCCGCGGACGCGGAACGCGGGCTGCCGCCGCAAGGGCCGGCCGGAGCTGGGGACGCCCTGGCGCGCGGAAATGCGCAGCTCCCTGGGGAGGTGGGATCTGGAGCATCACCCTCCGCCGGGCTCCGCGGCGAGGGAGTGGCCCAGCATACGTGGAGCGGGGTTGGTGGCCGGGTGGCCGAGCCGGGGCTTCCTCCGCGGCGAGGGGGGCGGGGCGGGGGCTGGACCAGAGCAGCCACGCCTGTTGAGGGCTGGGCGCTCGCTCGCCTAGGGGGCAGATCACTGGGGAGGGGTCTCTCCATTCACACCCCACCACTGAGGGCCGCTGGGATAGAAACGCCCCTCCGTGCCTGTTTTGTTGGTCTGGTGGCTGAAGGCGGTGAGCGCCCCCTCCGAGGTCCCCGTAAGGGAATGTGTGTGCGCCGTCACTGAACCTGGGGTTGAACTTGACTCACCGGAAACTGAACAGTGGGTGCAAGACAGGTTTGAAGCTTGGCGACTAAGCCGGGAAGCCGGGTGGCAGCGTGTTACATAGGAGGGACCGACCGGGAAGGCGATGGAGTTGGAGTAGGCTGAATTGGAAGCAGGCCCATGAAGATAAATGAAGGAAAGGAGAAAGGTGAAGGAAACAGCCTCCACCACTTTGCATGCAAAGCGGGTGCTGGCTGAGGGTACCAATTCTCCTGAAATCGAGATGGGCCAGGCCGAGGAGTCTACACTCAATTACTAATCAACAAACATTCATGGGAGGCTACCACATTCCATGCAATGTGCCGGGTACCTACAGAGATCATTTGGAAAAGTCTCTACTCTCGTGGGACCAGTGGACTTGGGTGCTGAAGGAAACTGATCTTGAACTGATGATATAGGAGTAAAAGAAAACTGGGTTTCTTTCATTAACCTACTCTGTAGGAAAACTTAAAGTCCATTTCCTAAGCTATAAATAGCTGGACACTTTAATCTCTCTGTATACTTCTAACTACCTATCCTTATATCCTGCTCAATAACCTTCTATGACTTCCTATTGCCTATTTAAGTAGAAACTTCTCAGCCTGTGCATTGCAGGCCCTCCACTATACCTCCCCTGGCCTCATCTTTGTGTTTGCCTAGATGCCCTTTGTAAAACCAGTCAGGCTGGGCTACAAGAGCCTTAAGATCTTGCATATCTTTCTGTGCTTTGAATCAGTGGTTCTCAAACCTGGCTGCACAGTAGAATCACCTGAGTAACTTTAAAATAGGCCTATGCCCAGGCCCACCCAAGCTTTGAGAATCACTTTTGAGCCATATTCTGCATTTAAGCCATCTCACCTGCACAGTCTCAGTTTGGTCTCTTGCCATGGGCAAGTTGACAAATGCAGATTGTTTATAATATTCCATCCATTGCAAATTCACAAACCCTTGCTTGGCTTGAAACATGGAGAAAAAATTACCCATAGTCACCACCAAGAGTCCCTTAATGTAGAGCTGCAACATTCTTTGTAGAAAAGTCCCCAAAAGTAATTGACCTGATCAAGCCTTTAGAAGGACTAAAATTCACTGTATCGGTGAATTCAGTAAATTCAATGTGACTGTTAGCAGGCTGATCTCAGGTTTTATATCTGATGAAATGGCCCAGCTCAAGTTAAGATAGCGGATCCAGAGCTTTTCTGCCACCCAGAGTCCCCATGGTGCCTCTGACCAAACTGTGATCCAGTATGGACTTGAGAAAAAATCTCAGCCTATACAGCATCCAATACACTTCAGCTCCAAATCACCAACCCCAAACAGTTCTGCGACACCAAAATTAGTAACAGCTGTCAATTTCTTCAATTTTTTCATTTCATTTCTATAATCCTGGTGTGGTTATTGCCCGCAGTTTATAGGTAGAAAAACTGGACTCAGGGGGTATGACTTGCCTATTACATGGTCGATCAACAGCAGAATGAAGCTTTGAACTCAGATCTGTTTATTGTATTTAAGTGCTCCTTCCTTTAGTCCATCCTGCCAGAGTCAGGAAAAGTGTATGCTTGTAGCTCATTTACAAATAGTATCTTAAGAAAGGGCTCTCTGGCGATACCCAACATCAATCTTGATAGAAGACTGGACTAGCAGTCAGTGGAATTCCTGTCCCTGATCTGTCAATGAAGTAACCTCAGACAAACCCCCAAAGACCCTTGTGTTTATTTCCACATCTATGATAGGAGACTAAGTCCAATCGCTGGAATATGGGACTCGAGATGGTTAAATGTGTAGGCTCTGGACTCCCTATATCCAAACCTCAGTTTTACCACTTTCTAGCTGGGTGCCTTTGGGTAATTTACTTAACCTCTCTGAGCCTCATTTTTCTTATCATTAAAAGAAAATGATAATATTTATATCATAGAATTATTAAAAGAATTAAGTGAGTAAAAATGTAAACTAGAGCAATGGTAGGCACATTAAGTACTCAAATAGTAGCAATTAATATCTGTCTAGTCCAATGACTCTGGTTATTTATTATCTAACACTTCTTTTTGAACTAAGATTTCCAGAGCAATAATAGAAGTGTAAACTCTTACATCTTTGGAATGCCAAAAAATTTTAAAGTAACACTCTGAGTTTCTGTTTTCTCACAAGATCTTGAAGGAAAAATGAGGTTCTCCCTTATCTGTTTTCCCGTTTGCCATTCTCCTCCTTGATCTGCTATTCCTATCTTGAACTTTTATTTGAATCTTTAATTATTTAATAACTAAGTCTTATTTTATTGACTAGACTCTTAGTAACTCAAGGGAGGTATAGCATGTTTGTTTTAAATTTCCATTTATCTCTCTTAAAGCTTAACATTAAGTCTTGCAAAAAGTAGGCATTCAACACTTCCTGAATCCATTCTGCATAGATTGTCTGGACCCCTGTTCTTGTTCTGATTTTCCATATTGCCAAGTAATTCTATAAACACATGTGTTACAGTCTGGATTAGACTGTAAACTCCTAAGAGCAGGCTTTAGTCTCTCTTAGCTTTCTCTCAATGCTGTGCATTTGATCATTATGTGCTGGCAGATATTTCTTTTCTACCCAACACAGCCTTCTATGACTTTCCATCATCAGCCTTTGGATGGCAGAGATGTATGCGAGTTTTAGTTTCTTAAAAGGTGAACATGTGCCATATGACCCAGCAATTCCCTCCTAGGTATCTACCTAAGAGAAATGAAAACAAATGGTTACACAAAAACTTGTAGTGAATGTTCATAGCAACACTGTTTATAGTTGCCAAAAGGTAGAAATAATCCAAATGTCTATTAGTCAGTAAGCAGATAGACAAGACGTGGTATAACCATGTGACAGAATAATCACTCAGCCGTGAAAAGGAATGGACACATGCAACAACATGGATGAACTTTGAAGACATTATGCTAAATGAAAGAAGCCAGACACAAAAGGCTACATATTGTATGACTGCATTTATATGAAATGTCCAGAAAAGGCAAAATATAAGAGACTATTGTAAATATATTAGCAGTTTCCTGGGGTCTGGAGCTGGTATTAGGGAATAAATAAAAACATAAGCTTTCTTTTGGGGGTGATGACAATGTTTTAAAATTGGGTTGTGGTAATGGTTGCACAACTCAGGAAATCATCCAATTGCACACTTAAAAACAAGTAAGCTTTCGGTATGTAAATTATGCCTCAGTTAAACTGTTAATGTAAACCAAATAATCAACAAAAAGTAAATAAAGGCCTTATTCATTTGACAAGGGTATTTTTCCCCACCATGTGTGCTAAATCATTCAACAACAACCTAAGAACTATTAAGCACATGATATAAAATGGACAATGTGCTGGGCCTGAGGATAAAGAGGTGATTATGGCAGCATGTATAAAGAATTCCCATAGATACATAAGAAAAAAATGGATAACATGGTAGAAAAAAGGACAAAAGATTTGAATAGTCTTTTCACAAAAGAAGATAACCAAATGGCCAATAACATTAAGAGATTAACTTCATTAATCATCAAGAAAAGCAAATCAAAATCATAAGAATTTAACAGTATATACTCACCAGGTAATAAATATAAAAACAAAATGGAAAATACCACGTATTGGTGAGAATATGATGCACCTGGAACTCACACACTGCTGGTGGAAGCCCACTGGAAAACTTGATATTTAGCAAAGCTGAACATAGCATCCTCTATGTATGACTAATCAATTCCTCTCCTAGGTAAAGCCCCAAGTGAGAGGTGTTCATATGTTCATTGAAAGACATATACAATGTTCGTAGCAGCACTATTCATAATAGACCCAAACTGAAAACAACCCAATTTCCATCAACAGTAAAGTACATTAATTAAATATGTCATCATTAATCATTAAGTGGAAAATGCTACACTTTGCGATTGAACAAACTATTGCTACATGTAAGTGAATCCTACATTTGTAATGTTGAGCAAAAGAAGCCAAACACTAAAGGAAACATATAGCATGGTTCCATTTATATGAAATTCCTGGAAGTCAGGAGAGTGGTTATTTTGGGAAGGGGTAGATGGGGGTAAGTGGGATGCTGGTAACAATCAACTTCCGGGTGCTAGTTATACAAGGCTGTTCTCCAGGCTGTGCACTTATTTGTGCACATTATAGATGCTATATTTCAATACACTTCGTTAATAATAAAGTTCCTGACCTCGACATGTAGTCTAGATTCTAGAGTAATGTGCTCCAAACTTTTTTGACTGCAACTCTATCAGTAAAACTCCCAAATATATATATTTCTACTATTTATAAATTGAATACATGAATCTCATTAATAAGCATCTTATAATACACAAAATTAGAATTTTAAAAGGGTTATATTAAAATGTATATTATAGACAAGTAGAGGTTCGAAATTGTCTTCTTGCTCTGTTATGGATGTTTTGTGCACTTCTT